AGAGAGAGAGAGAGAGAGAGAGAGAGAGAGAGAGAGAGAGAGAGAGAGAGAGAGAGACACACACAGAGAGAGAGAGAGAGAGACACACACAGAGAGAGAGAGAGAGAGAAGAAACTTACCTGCTTGTTGTTGTCGCCGTCGACCATAGCTGCAAAGTTTGAGAAACCTGTGTACATCATTTCAAGTTGCAAATATGTTCCGAATGTACTCATAATGTGTGAATCTTGCTAGCTTGACGTGGATCTTGAGTGCAATGCATGCATAAAGTTTGAAGCAATAAAGGCAAGAAAACAGGATCTTCTTCAGTAAAGCCAGAACTTCTTCAGTGGTATTGAAGCAAACTCTCGTTCTCTTTCTCCACGATCAACCAGGCATGCAGTAGAGAGGAGGTGCACACAGACAAGAAGGCTGCAGGCCAGGAGAGAGAAGGTGCGCAGAAGAGAAGAGGAACGTGCAGAGAAGAAAGGTGTGCGCCAGGTAAGGAGGGCGCACACAGCAGGAAGAAAGGCACACGCGGCAGGAAGAAGCGCGGACAGGAAGAAGAAAGGTGCATGCAGGGTAGGAGAAGACACACCTGCGGTTCAGAAAAAAAAAACGCAGAGATGTGACCGGCGCGCATGGTAGGAGAAAGGTGTAGTGCGAAGAGGAAGAGCCGTGGTACTTGGAGAAAGGCTGGAGGCCCAGTGGAGGGAGTAAGTAGAGGCGGAGGCAGTGTACAAGAAAAAAAAAAAAAAAAAAAGGGATTGGCCGGGGAGAGACAAAGGTCGACGAGGGAGGAGAAAGCACGTCCTGTCAGGCGACTTCCCAGCAAACGTGGAGAAGTCTTCAGTGAGCTGGAAGTGAAGTACCCTTCTGCCCGAAGCCTTGTATGCACGTGTGCATGACCTTTTTTCCTTCTTTTTTTTAACAGAACCTTATGGTTCTGCCTCCTTGTCCATTCTGGGGAGCGTCAGTCCGGTTCCTATTCCACCGGCAAGTCAGAAGGGAATACAATAAACCTCACTCATGCTCCTCCACCTTATGGTATGAAGGCCCGAAGGGCGGCACTGACTACTTCCTGGTGGAAGGATGTACCCTTCACCCCTGCCTAAGTTAGCCTGTACTACCTTGCATCTATCCTTGGGTAATGGTCTGATTGTCTAATCTCTAGCCTCCTTGGGCTCTACCCAGCCTGTTCCTCTCAGCCCTTTGGCTGTCTAATCTCTGTTCGACTAGGTTGGTACTAACTTTGCTGGAAGCCTTTACCCTTGCTGGGTTTTCTTTCCCCCTGCTTTACGTACTTGATGTTACCCTTGCTATTAGCTTAAACCTTGGCAAACCTAGGATTGAAGATATTGCTACTTGCTGACATCGATTCTTAAGCCCTAACCCTGGTGAGCCTTTAACTGCGGTCTCAATTGTTGTCTGTTGATGGGAGAGGTTAAGGTTTTTGTAAGTGAGGGGGGTCAAGCTGAGTGGGGTGTATGAACTGGCGATGTTGTCTATTGACGGAGAAGTTAAGGTTTTCGTAAGTGAGGGGGGTCGAGCTGAGTGGGGTGTATGAACTGTTGGTGTTTTGTGCTAACGTATAGAAATGGATCAGGGTGCCTGTGGAGGGTCGTTGTGTGTCACGACCAGAGGGTGGGAGGGTGTAAGGGTTGCGTGCAGTGCCTTTTGAGGATATGCGCAGGGTGGGCAGAGGATAGTTGGGTGGGGTTTGTGTGTGTTGGAGAGTGGGAAATTGATGGTTGAGAGGCAGGGTTGGGGTAATTTCAGGAAGGAAGGATTAACCAGTTCTTGGCGACTAGGCGGTCATTCTTGATCATCACTATGAGCCCTGTGCCTAGATTTGGAGCATGAAAAGTTTACTGACCGTGAAGAGGAGGGTTCGGTAGAGAGGCCATTGTAGTAATGTGGTTGTTAGGTTCATGAATCCCTTTTTTAATTCCCTGTTGCCTACCCCTCTAGATGCTGGTGACTCCCTTTGTGCAGATGGCTATGCCCTGTCTCTTATACACATCTAGATGTGTATAAGAGACAGGTGCCTAGATTTGGAGCATGAAAAGTTTACTGACCGTGAAGAGGAGGGTTCGGTAGAGAGGCCATTGTAGTAATGTGGTTGTTAGGTTCATGAATCCCTTTTTTAATTCCCTGTTGCCTACCCCTCTAGATGCTGGTGACTCCCTTTGTGCAGATGGCTATGCCTTTTCTGTTCTAGGTCCATAGGGGCACTGTTGCTTATCTGAGTTCGTGTTTGTTTGTTCCTTATCTAAGTTCGTGTTTTACTGTGGGCCCATCATGGGCCCTAATGTTCTAGGTCCGTAGGGGCACTGTTGCCTCAATCTGTGTCTTCCCTGACTGTGCCTTGTTTAGTCCAGTCTGTAAAGTGCAAAGTTTTGCCTGTGATTTTGGCTACTGGTCCTTTCTTAAACCATTCTTCCTCGAATTCCTTCTGGATTTTGTTTTTCTTTGTATTTCCAAATTATTTATCTATCCTATCTAAAGGTATCTCCCATGCTACTCTGATTTCGGATTCCCCAACTCCTTTGCCTCTTCCAATGATTCATTTGCTGTGATTGTCTTTTTCCCTCTGGTTCCGCCACATCTGGCTCTTCAAAATTCCAAATGACCCACAGAGCTGTCTTCCTGAGCGGTTCTACCTGTTTGATTTAGTCTGTGACTACGCCATCCCTGCCGATTGCTGTGAGGAGGAAGACGTGATCCTTCGGACAGCCTTTCCTATTCAGCTGCGGACGAGTGACCTCGACTCCCTGTCTAACAGCCTTTTCCTATTCAGCTGCAGTCATGGTCGTTTTTGTTGATGTCAAGGTCATAGGTTGATAGGAGATTGCATTGAGTAGATAGGTAGGGCCAGCCTGCGGATGGCAATATCACGATATGGAAGGTGCACGGGCACGAGCGGCAGGAGCTCATTAAACAACCTGTCTAGCCCAACAACCGATACTGACCGGTGTCAAGTGAACCACGCGATTATGAGCATCGACCAGTCTGCTGACGACAACAGTGCTGCACGGTTCTCCTTCTTTGAGGTTCCTTGTACCAGGCATCCCTTGGCTGTAAGGTCTGTTTCACACTACAGTGGTCTATAAGGGTAGGTACATACTGCACCAAGATCATAGGGGGAGAAAAAGCGGAAAAGGGGCTGGAAGAGTAGGGAAACGGCCAGGATCGCAACATGGCCTAGTTGTCCATCTTGAGGCAGTAGTACAGCTGTGGCATACTGCGTAGCCACACGGGCCCTGCCGTCCCGGACATTCAGCCTAAAAGCCTAAAACTTAGGGCTTACAGGCCCCGTTCGTTTCAGCCTGAAAGCTGAAAAACGAGGGCCTGCACGCCCTACCCCGT